TTTACTAGAGACAGAGTTCTGAGTTCTGCCACCAACATTCTTTCACCTGGCTTCTTCGTGGTCCATTTACTTCATACCAAGTGTTTACTTTACTAGAGACAAGAGTTCTGAGTTCTGCCACCAACATTCTTTCACCTGGCTTCTTCGTGGTCCATTTACTTATATGCGGACGGCGTTAATCTATTGGTTTTCACATATTGGCGTCCATATATGGATTTCTCTGGATTTCCTGTCCTGGGTGGATTTCGTTTCCTGGGTGCGGTCGGCTTGAAAACAACTCGTTTTCTAACATAGACACGTAGCTTTTTCTCAACCGGCACATCTTCTGATCCATTTCCACCAGAACCCGTCTGTACCCGCTCTTCTTCCTCGTCCGTTCCCGTTAGTTTCCGTCCGTTCTCGTCCATTTGCTGTTCTGTGTTAGAATTCCTCTCAATTTGATCCTCTGATTTCTCCTCCTCATAATGTACTACCATTTTTTTTTGCCAGACAATGAATTGGCTAATTGCATTTCTTAGCATCGCAATGTCATCTACTGGTGCCCAAAGACGTATGTCTATCTTGACCTCAGACACTGTCACAACAACTTCATCAGGCTTCACGGGTACATTGTGGAGAAATCCACGGCTTGGATAGCAACATCCTATTGCAACAACATCATTATTTCCATTATGGTTGATCAAGTTGCACTTGAAAGGCTCATTTACCACTTGAGATGGAGGTAGTGGCTTCTCTGCCTTCTTCTTGGACTCCTTAAGCTTTGCGATCTCTTCAGTCTGAAAAGGAGAAGATTGAGGCTGTGACTCCTCGAACTCGACATAATTACCATTATCAACATCTTCTTCTTCGTGCTCACTGGGATCATTCAGGGTCGCTACTTGAGTCATGTGCAGGGCATCTTCTTCTTCGTGCTCCCTGTGCTCTTCTTGATTCATGTCATCATTATTTTTCGCACCAGTAGCCCTTGCTCCATTAGGACACAATGCTTCTACAGCCACCATCCGTTTTTTTAAGCCACCAACTTGTAACCGCAAATCTCTTAGCTCTTTATCACTTCCTTTTCTTTTCTTGCCTCTGGGGTTGTTTGTTCTCTTGGTTGTCTTGGTTGATTCTACAATTTCTCTGTTCGACTGATCTTCCTCATAAAGATCATTCCAAAATAGCACCTTGTTTTGCTGCGTTAGAAGGTCGTTCCAAGAGTCAGCCACCGAGTCAGTATCTTCCTCGTCAATAAAGATGTTAGCTAAAAGATGTTGCTCCTCCGGATTAGGGACCAAAAAACTCAGAATCTCCTGTATAAAAATACAAACAAAATAGGATAATAACCGATCAGCTAAAGTCATTTGAATGAAACACCTATCTAGCAGGTATCAAGAATAAACTAAAGAAACACAAACAAAGTAGCATACCAAAATCGTGATTCATAAAACACTGAGTTTTCATACCTTCGTAGTTCCAATTGCTTCGTATATCGCGTCCAGTGAATATCCCGTGTCACCTGTGTGTTTGAATTTCGACCGACACATACGTGGACATCCATTGTCTCTGTGGTCTACGTTTTCTCGAAATTTGCTTTTGAGTGGTTGAATACACTCAAAAGCTAAAATCTGCACAAAGTTGGAAATAAGAACAAGAATGAAATAATAACAACAGAGAAGAAAAAAGAGAAAAAATGGTACCTCAATTGCAATAGTGAAGCCGGGAATAGTCCATGAAGATTTCGGTTTACTCTTGAACATTTTTATCCATCGACGAATATTGTCTATACAATGAATGAACGTGAAGGTTCCCCACGGAAAACTCTTACATAATTCCAAATCACTGACAATATTTACCAAGAAAGAGTCTATCTTTGCACTCTTTTTCTTCTTTGGATTGATCACGGATCCCAGGAAGTATAATACTGCCATTTTCAATCTATCATCATCACCTTCTACTTCCTCCATCGACTGTAGTTTTTCAAACACAGCTTCGAGAGATATCTTATCTCCCTCTTTAAAGTACTTGTTAATAAATCCATCACCACCAAATTTTTTCTCTAATTCTTCCTCATAATTATCTGGAAGCTTTCTGCAATCTAGTCCGGTAATTAACGCGTGTTCCCTAATCGAGTATCGAATAGGGACACCATTAACAACAAACCATAACTCGTTCTGCTTCTTCTTCATATTAACAGTACGGAGAACTAAACTCCACATTCCCTTGCATTTATGAAACCTCTCCCTAGGCCTATCGAAAATGTGTTTAAACTGAGGGTGTTTCAAAAACCAGCTAATTTCCCAATCAGAAAGTTTACTCCATAAGTATGGAACAGTCTTGTCGGGAGAAGACATTGAACTGATTTTACATGTCTTATTGAAAGAGGTTGGAGGGAAGAAGAGTTTCGGTTTAGCAACTGGAACCGATCTAAAATATCAAAATTCAAAAACAAAATTCAAACCAACACGAATTTATTGGGGAAAGAAAAATCAAAAATCAAAATCAAAATCAAAATTCAAATCAAAATTCAAACCAAAAATCAAAATCCTAGAATATCACTTTCAATCACAGAACCAAAACCAAAACTCTCTATCAGAACCAAAACAAAATCAGAACCTAGTAGCCATCAAAACATACACATCAAACAGAGATAAACATCAAAACATAGTTACCAAACATCAAATCCGTTGAGCCAAACTTCATGATTAAGATATAAAGAGGACATGATAAAGAATGATTCTTCGTAGACACCAAATTTAACAAAAAAAAAAGTTAAAAATCAAAACATACACATCAAACAGAGATAAACATCAAAACATAGTCACCAAACATCAAATCCGTTGAGTCAAACTTCATGATTAAGATATAAAGAGGACATGATAAAGAATGATTCTTCACAGACACCAAATTTAACAAAAAAAGCTAAAAATCAAAGTCGAACCAGAGACCAAAATAAACCCATGGGACTGAGAAGGAAGAACGATAATCAGTGTCAAATAGCTTGTCCATGAATCCTAACCTAACAGTCTCGTTACTCATGATCTCGCGAATCAAACATTTGAACAAATGAATCGAAAATTCGGGAAACCGGAGTTCAAGTGTACCTGTCCGCCTCCATCTCAAACCGGAGTCGCGCTGGTAATTCTCTATCGCCGACTTTGAATAACCGGAGTCGCGCTGGTAATTCTCTATCGCCGACTTTGAATTCTCTATCTCCAGCCGAAGAATACAAAGAACTTAAAAGGTGCGGGTTGAATCCTCAAAACGGAAGGAGATTCTAGGTGTTACGAGAATTACCGAGGTTACGCAGCAAAAAGAGGTTTCAATTAGGGTTTCAAAAAGAGGTTTAAAATTTTAAATCATGCCATTATAAATCTAAAAAAATTTAAATTATTTTAAGATCAAAATAAAAAAAATTCCTAAAAAAATCAAAATATATATTAAAACATAGTTATAATTTTAAAAATCTAACCAAAAAATTACAAATTTTTAGAGTTTTTGGCAGTGTTTTTAAACCCGACCCAGATAGTGAACCGGACTACCTTCTGGGTCACTGGGTCAACCGGGTTCGATCACGGGTTAATTGATCAAAATTTTATTTAATATATTTAATATTTATAGAGATGATTTAGTTTTTATAAATATAAAAATAAAAATATTCTTAATATATTACAAAATATGAAGTCTAACAATAATAATAAAGTGATTCAAACAAAATTTTTAAACTAATAAAACATCGCAAATTCAAAAAAGTTAATCTCGGTTATTTCTCTCACCATTCCATTCATTCTTCTTAGACGGCACTGTGAAGTTTCATTAAAAATTTTAAAACAACAAATGAGTCTAAATTCTAAAAATGACTGAATAGAGTCTGAATAGAGTCTAAAACTCTATATTTTATTCCAAAATCAAATGATATTTTTAAAACCCATACCCAGTCGGTTCAACCGGTTTACTGGGTCGCGGGTTAATGGCGAGTTTTTGTGGGTTTTTTCGGTTCTTAAAATGGCGGATATTAGCATTAAACCCAAACCGGAAAAGTGTCCGGGTCGTGGGTTAACCGGACGGTTCGGGTTGGGCGTGAAAACACTGGTTTTTGGATATTTTGATATCTGAACCCGAACCGAAATAATTCAAAGCAAACCCGAACCCAACCCAAATTCAATTTTTGATACAAAGAATCGATATCAAAAGCAAAATTCAATCTAAACCCTAATTATTTGCACACGGCCTGTCCAATAACCACTTAAGGGTATCTCCCTCGTTCCGTTGATCTGTTTATGAAAATCCAGTTTCGATAAACGAGTACCAGGTGAGGAATTCGATGATGGATACACAGTTTCTCGAGTCACTGAAATCGATACTGCCGAATAGTTTCTATCCACTCCGTTTTTTCCACTAGAAGAAGTCTGGTTTGATTTCATCACCTTAATCATATCTAACATATCGGCAATGTTACGATCGATTTTCTTATTTTGATCAGCTAATGATGCCTCGAGAGCTTGAGTTCGATTGATAATCTGGTCCAACCGCGAGCCGATCGTCTCCTCCGTAACACGATCTAACTCCGAAGCATTCACTACCTCTGGATCGTTCTGCAACACACGAGATCTCAACTCCACCACCATTTTTTCCGAGCACCGAATGGCTCTAATACTAGTGATAACGGGAAACCGATGAGGAAGATTAAAATGAACTTCTGAATTTATGAAGGGTAAATGGATACAACGTTCGCAAGTAACGCAACACCACTTCTCATCTGCAAGAGTCTCAAAGAGAGATCCAGCAAAACGATGAGGAAGAGTCCAAAGACTTCTAGAAGAAGCTACAACAAAGAATCAGATTTTCATATATAAAAGTGTGAGCCTAACAATTGCTCTTTATACTAAAGAAGATAAACAGTGTCAACAACAGCTTCCGTCACCGTTAGTCCTTCTCCACCTCATCACCACACACGTATCTTCCAACTTGCACAATCCACACGTGCGAGGCTTGATCTTCTAGAAAGCTATATTATATTGTTGGTAATGGACTATCTACTCTCAAAGCTTTGTGCGTTTCTAAGCTCGAAGAAGGCCTACATATCTAGCTTGGTTTAAGAGTTAAGACCATAATATTATAGCTTAACTTCTCGATATTTCTCTAAACTACTTTCACTTAAGGGATGCACTTGATGTAACACGGATTTTTGGGTTGAATATAATTTTACATATATTAAAAAAAAAGCTAAAAACTTGGAGTTTGGGAAAAAAAAAAAAAAAAACCAAGTTTGAAGGTTTTATAACCGAGGGCATTTACGTCAATTAGTTAGTTAAGTTGGGCTTTGTGTGAGATTCTTAAAAAGCCCATCTTTACAAAATCGAAAGAGCCAGCGAAAAACCCTAGACAACGAAACATTTCACTCTTCTTCTCTTCCACCCTCTCCGATTCTCAGGCGAAGATTTTATTCACATTTTCCGGTGATCTTCTCGTGTCCGTCCAAATTTCAGTAGTTCCTTTGTGAAGACTTACTTGATCGGAAAAAAAAAATGAAGCCAGTAATAGGCACAGTGGTATCGAACAAGATGCAGAAATCGGTAGTCGTCGCCGTCGATAGACTCTTCCACAACAAACTCTACAATCGCTACGTCAAGCGCACTTCCAAATTCATGGCTCACGACGACAAAGACGCCTGCAACATCGGCGATCGAGTAAATTCTCTCGCATTTCCTTCTTCCTTATCACTCTAATTTCGTTTCATTGCGTCTTTTAAATCTATTTCAGCTATTGAAATGTTTGATCTCATCCACTTGAAAATTGGCTTTGTGATTGAACTTGAGGCTTAAGAAATTTGAAAATTTGGTTAATTTGTTAGGTGAAGTTAGATCCATCAAGGCCATTGAGCAAGAATAAGCATTGGGTTGTTGCTGAAATCATCAAAAAAGCTCGAATCTATTCTCCGGAGGCGGCTGCTGCTGCTGTTGCTTCTTCTTCTGCTTCCTCTGCCTCCATTGCTGACTCTTCTGCTCAGTCTCAGATTCCTCCATCATCTACTTCTTAAGGTGATTGACATTGATATAAAGTGACATTTTACGGGTTTTAATGAGGCGCAAGATTATAAGTTTTGCTGTGTGACAATATGCATCTTGTTATTTAGATACTTGAATGTTATAACACTTTATGATTATGGAATCGATATACTTATCATCCCTTTTTCTTCTTACTGCAGTTTTGTTAAGAGAAACGTTGCATAGAGAAGCGAAAACATGTCTGTGAGACAAGCTAGGAGTTGTTACGATGATCATATTGCATCGAAGTTTATGCTTTTGGATCATGTCTGTGATATTTTGATTTCCTGAGATGATTATGAGTTATATGATGGGGATAGATTCTCTGGTGAAAGTTGATGAATAAACACCTCCTGTTAAGAAACTCTGTCTTCTTATGTTATTTTGGCAAATCATCAGTGTATTGCACTTTAAGCAGAAGTGTGAGATAGTGATGAGTTGTTATTTTGGGTATGGAACAATGAGTGAAAATGCATCTTTGGCTCTAAAAATGGTGGCAAACTAAAGATCAGTACCAACATAGAACTCCTCAAATGTGATTTGGCCAAGTCAACAAATTGTAACATCAATTTTTCGCTTTCAATTATATGAATCTTTCTTTTTGTTAGATATCTATTAAGTTACAAGGATTTGAGTTTTCAGAGATAATTTTGTGTTTGCTACGTATCTATCTATGTTTTGTTTTAGATCAGAGAAGGAAGTAACCAGAGATTGAAGAGGGAAGAAGAGAGAGACAAGAACCAAGTCAAGAAAGCTAATGTTGCTGCAAACTGATATCTGTTGCAGATTGTTGGAGGACAAGAGGATTCGTTTGATCGCAGAATATCAACAACACTAGCTGCGGATGAAGCTGAAGCCAACACTAGAACAGACACCACCTGCGAAACCAAAAAATGGTGAATTCGGATTGAAAACTCGGTTTTTTTTTTTTCCTTTCTAAGTAAGCGTTAGATATAGAATTGCGTTACCCAATCACCAATAGAGACAGCGAGAAGGATCCGTGGCTTTTGAAACGGTTGCTGGAGAATAACACAGTAGATATCTACCATTGCTAACGTCAGATTCCATGGTATAGCTAAAGACATGATCGTCACCAAGTAGCTGCAGATTTGTAGATAAGATTATTAGGGTTGATTAGAGAATATAGAATCCGGAATTAGGAGTTATGTACCAGAAAGCAGTGAATTGGTAGAAGCGAACACCGATGGTCATGAAGAGAAGAGAGCCAAATGCTAATACCGTTTGCCCTAACCTTAAGGAAAGGCTTGCAGTTGTGCCTACAGAGCCAGGAACCTCCACCATCACTAGCTTTTCTTGTGTGGCACGTCAGTTAGTTGTTGGATCTAAAACTCGATAAAGATGGAAACTTTTGACATGGGTCTGGAAAATGTTGTGTAATTTTCGATTAAATCATAGGGGTTTTCGTTTTCTAGTGTGGACAAAAAGATCACGATCATGATCATGACGAAGAAGAAGAAGAGGAAGAAGGGAGGAATAAAAGAAAGACAAGTTGAGAGTGTTTCTGGTTCGCACGTTGTTTGTGAGTGTTACGAATGGTGGAAAAGAGAAGACTGTTCATGTTGAAAGAGTTGTGGTCTGTATTCATCAGACAAAGCAGAGCAATTGTCGGAGAAAACTGTTTTGCAAAACACTTGTATTCCTTCCTTCTCCACTTCCTATTCTCTCCCCTTTTTCTTATTTTATTGCATTTTTTACATCTAGTTTTCTCTTATACAAATAAAGTCGATTGCTTTTTTTTTAGAAAATTTCAAGACAACACCTTAGAAAGCACCGAATTTACTAAATTCATTAAAAATTGTGACGATTAAAACGCTCCAAAAAGACCAAAACGGATCTGAGAAGTAAGCTTTGCAAATTCAAAAGAATATTGAGCAGAATTTGATCTGCATTAGCCGAATGTAATTTGCTGGAAATTGGAGGAGAACGTTGGTGAGAAGAACAAAAACCAAAAACAAATGCCAAAAGTACACCATTATATAAACTATATGTCTCATGATTTCGTTATCTCAGGTCATAGAGTAAGAAGATTGCAAAAACAAACACAATATCTTCCATTGCTTCATGTTGCATCTATCTCACCGCTTCAACCCTGCAGGAGATGAAAGAAGATAGCGGCTTAGCAAACAATCTCGATATGGCTGAGAACTGGGGAATCAAAAACGTAGAGATCACACATTATTTATATGACTTTGAGTATTTGACAAACATTTCAAAACACATTCAAAACTACACACATTCTTGTTCCAACATGTTCATAATATTGAAGATTAACATCAAGGTTCCTTTAAGAAGAGTCTCTCTCACGCCAACACAAAAGGAGCAAACAAGCTTTGCCTAAGCATAGTGAATACTCAACAATCCCTAAATCTCCATGGGATACATCGCTATCTAAGATAACTTCATACACCGATATAGATTATCATATCAATAAGTAAGCCTAAAGCATAAGCTGAAAATTATAATGCTTTTATGATTGTGAACTCATTCTCATGAACAAGCCTTGAAACTTAGTTAAGAACAGACCAGAGAGATCTTAGTATGGCAGAGAAACGAGGGATCTAAGTGTAAAATACACACATTATTAAATTGGCTTAAAGTTTTTTTAACAAAGCTTTCACAATCTTGTTCTAACATGTTCATAATACTGAAGATTAACACAAAATCAGCTTTTCCTAAGCATAGTCAAATCAATAGTCAACAATCCTTAAATCTCCATGGGACACATGGGTATATCATGCTTCCGCATACACATATCAATAAGTGAGCCATAAGGGCATAAGCTGAAGCATATCATGAACAAGCATACTCTAATGAACAAGCCTTAAAAATTTAATAAAGCACAGAGAAAGAGAATGATGACCCAAAAGAAGCAAACATCAAAAAGACCAAAAAATTCCAGTTTCTATACTTGTGATCAAACTCAAGCAAGTACCATAACTCGATCCTAAGAGTATTAAGTCTCAAACAGAACTAATTCCATCAGAATCAGCAAAGCTAAATCATAACCCAAGGAAGACAAAATTGACAGAATCGAATTAACAGACCTGAAAATTCGAAGAGCCTTAGAAGTCGATCTTGAGCTCATCTTTGGAATCGGAGAAATAGGAGAGGACGTAGGGAACAGCACGGACAATGACAACCCAGCCGCCAAAAAGAGCCACATGGGTCCGTAGCTGCTTCAGAGCCACGGCTTTGTCTGGCTTTCGCATGAACATTCCTGGAAACATGGCTGCGATCTTCTTCTTCTTCCTCTCTGCTGTGAGATTGATTCTTTAAAGATTCTAAAACCCTAACCCTCGATTGATTTGCCGTCTCCTTTTTCCACAATATAAGATTTTTAGATGTAGGCCGAGTTTTGATATGGGCCGTTAACAAAGCCTTTTATATTAATTGATGATACACGAAGCCTTTTGTCGGCGAGTAAACGGTTTAAACCGATAAATTTTGATTTACAGATATATTGAAAGTTCAATTTTTGCTTAAACCGATTTTTTGAACTTCGATATATAATTTAAGTGCTAATTAAATAAAAATGTTAGATGAGATATAATTAGACAAGCATCGTTTATAAATGTATATATATAGCATGTTGGACCCGGATATATATAAGTCTTAATCATGAGAAAAAGATTATAGTTATAGTCACTACCAAAGTGTGTTTTTAATTAGAAATTGTTCAAAGCTAAGAAAAGTAAACTAATTTTGTAGAATAGAAAAACTGAATAAATTTTCTAAAAGAGAGATAATGTAATGGTAACGTTCACAACTTCACATGATGGAGCACGGCGATTCTTCTTGGTAATGTGATCTGCTACCATATCCATATTGCAATGGTGGTGGTCGCCAACTTCCATAGCTATCAAAAATTGGCCTTTCATCATATCCATTGGGTCGGGACCATCCGTAGTTAGGCCCATCAGACCAAGGCACCGGCTGGCCCATCATCGACGCTGGATTATACCCATGTATCACGCGTTGAGAACTTGGATCGGCTTGAGCTGGTGCTGGTTTGGGCTTCTCTGCTTCTTTAGGTTTTTCAGCTTCTTTGGGCTTCTCAGGTTCTTTGGGCTTTTGGGCCGCAGGTTTGGGCGGATCGATGGTTTCGATGAGCTTAATAGCTCCACGTCCTTTGGAACAGAGTTTGTCCATGACTTTCTCAGGACTGCAACAAACCACTTTGATTGTCACTGTGTTGTTTTCTTCATCGAACTTTTGGTCTCTTACTTCTATTATTTTCCCAAAGCAATCAAAGAAACAAAAACATACAAATTAATGAATTTTTAAAAACAAAGTATTCAATGAAAAACCAAAAAAATACTAAATAAAAGAGAGAGTGAGTTTAACAAAAAAAAAAACATACGAGGTAAGCTGCAAAGAGCATTCTTGACTTTTGAGAGATTCTTTTCGGAATTAAGAGGCGCCGTCTTCAATTTCATCCATGTTACCTGTTTTATTCTCATCATATAATCTTTTCATTATTTTTTATACAACTTTTGTGACTATTAGTAGTAACAATTTTTGTTATTAAGTGCTAAAGGTTTCAAAGAGGAGCACATAAAAAAGAGAAGAGAGAGCGTTTACCTTCTCCTTACCCTTCTCGGGCATGGCTTTGAAAAGAGAAAAAGATTTCATTGTAATTCCTTATCCTTACCCTATATATTACTATGCTATATATTTGGAGTTTCACGAGAGGGCTTCCAAGGAATAAGAAGTTGAATATTGTACAATTTACTTTTCTCTTAAAATGTATAATTTCCATAGCTATTATTACATAATGTCCTCAACAATGTAAATTTTCTTTTTTTTTTGTTTAACGTTTTTCCTTTCTTTTCAAACAAAAGAAAATGGACTACAAATTTGATAGAAGATAAATGTGAATCGAATAACTCTAGTCGTTTATTCCATTACTAGATTCATATAGCTAGTAGATTGTATGCATGTTGCTATATGCTAAACACTAAACAGAATAAGAAATTTCAGAATATAATAGGTCTTAGACAAATAGTTTATTTTTATTTTCATTTGGTGAAATTTATAGAGCATATTAGTAAAGGATATAAGTGTAATTAGTAAATCCCTAATCATAGAGTCATGTCTCAGTATATATATGTACATTACTTCTCTAATAAAATCAACACATTCACATTCTATATGGTATCAGAGACCGATCCACACATGTTCAACCCGATCCGACTCAAAGATGGTCCAATCATCGACAAGGCCCAAAATTGATGCCGTCGATCCAACTCGCCATCCTAGGGAAACCTATGGATCATGAAGAACAAGTGGAGAACATTCTCAACGGCCTTCCTGACGACTACAAGACCGTCATTGATCAGATCGAAGGCAAAGACAATCCGCCTACCATCACAAAGATCCATGAAAGGCTCCTCAATCAAGAGTCGAAGCTTCTCTCCGCCGTTGTACCTGCGTCTCCATTTCCGGTCACGGCCAATGCAGCACAGCAACGCAACTTCAATCCAAATCGCAACTCCAATCAAAACAAAACTCGCTACCAAGGCAGCAGTAGCAACAACACTAATTGGCCGCCATCAACGTACAACAAATCTGGTCAGCGTACGTTCAAGCCTTACTTGGGAAAATGTCAAATCTGCAATGTTCAGGGACATAGCGCGCGTCGTTGTCCTCAGCTTCAAGCAATGCAGCCCACCATGATCTCCTCCGCTCCTTCGCCATTCACACCATGGCAGCCTCGCGCCAATCTATCCGTTGGTGGACCGTACCCAGCGAATCCGTGGCTCCTAGACAGTGGAGCTACGCATCATATCACATCAGACTTGAACGCTCTCTCTTTACACCAGCCCTACAATGGAGGTGAACATGTGATGATTGCCGATGGTACAAGTCTTAAGATTACAAAAACTGGTTCCACTTCCTTACCCTCTCAATCTCGTGACTTGGATTTGCATAAAGTGTTATATGTTCCCAATATACGGAAAAATTTAATTTCGGTATATCGGTTATGTAATACTAATCAAGTATCGGTGGAATTCTTTTCCGCGTCTTTTCAGATGAAGGACTTGAGCACGGGGACCCTATTGCTCCAAGGGAGAACTAAAGATGAACTCTACGAGTGGCCGGTGACTAATCCGAAGGCTACGGCTCTGTTCACAAGTCCTAGTCCCAAGACCACTCTCTCATTTTGGCATTCGCGCTTAGGCCATCCTTCATCTTCTATTTTAAACACTTTAATTTCCAAGTTTTCTCTTCCAGTTTCGGTTGCTTCCACCAATAAACTTTCATGTTCTGATTGCTGCATTAATAAAAGTCATAAACTTCCTTTTGCAAACTCCTCCATTACCTCTTTCTCACCTCTTGAATATATTTTCACAGATGTTTGGACTTCCCCAATAATATCTCATGATAACTACAAATACTATCTAGTGCATGTAGACCATTACACTCGCTACACTTGGCTCTATCCCTTACAACAAAAATCACAAGTCAAATCCACATTTGCTGCGTTTAAAACCCTTGTCAAAAACCGCTTTCAAGCCAAGATACGAACTCTCTACTCTGACAACGGAGGAGAATTCATCGCATTAAAGGAATTTTTGGTCACTCATGGGATATCTCACTTGAAGTCACCACCACATACGCCTGAACACAACGGTCTATCCGAACGCAAGCATCGTCACATTGTCGAGACGGGTCTCACGTTACTCACTCAAGCTTCCATTCCCCGAGAGTTCTGGCCCTATGCTTTCTCGACGGCCGTTTACCTTATAAACAGAATGCCAACACCGATCTTGTCTCTCAAATCTCCGTTTCAAAAGCTTTTTGGTTCGAAACCAAATTATGAACGTCTTCGCGTGTTTGGCTGCCTCTGTTTCCCTTGGCTCCGACCCTATACTCGTAACAAACTAGAAGAAAGGTCCAAAAGATGTGTTTTCCTTGGCTACTCACTCACCCAAACAGCCTACCTTTGTCTTGATGTGGAGAACAACAAAATTTATACTTCCCGTCATGTTGTTTTTGACGAAACCATCTTCCCCTTCTCAAATCCAAATCAGCTCTATCAACAGAGCTTGACGTCCTCATCTTCACTCCCAGCAAATTCTGGTCCTCCGTGCTCAGTCCTTCATCCGCCACCTTCGCTGCCCACATTACCGGCGACGCTGCCTGCAAATTCCATTCCACCGTTGTCACCTCCACAGAACAACAGTCCCACGAGCTCTCCACCTCAGGTACGTGTTTCTCAAACCTTATCATCATCTTCTTCCTCTCTTAATTCTGAGCCCACTGCTCCACAAGAAAATGGGCCTGAACCTGAGGCCCAGTCAAAGTCACCATTAAAAGGCCCACTGCCAAACCCAAATCCAGAACCACATCCCTCTTCTTCTACGGAACCAAGACCGGTTGACACTTCGACCACCACTTCCAAGTCACAAAAACAAACCCGAGTCACTGCCGATGCTCAATCACCACCTCATCCGCCACAAAACCAACACCAAATGAGAACCAGGTCCAAAAATAACATTACCAAACCAAAGCTCAAAACCAGCCTCACCGTTGCCTTATCCAAAAATAAATCCATGGAACCCACCACCGTCACGCAAGCTCTCAAAGATGAAAAATGGCGCTTTGCAATGTCCGATGAATTTGATGCTCAGCAGAGAAACCACACTTGGGATTTAGTTCCAAACACAAATCAACATCTCGTCGCCTGTAAGTGGGTGTTTAAGCTCAAATATCTCCCAAATGGTGCCATTGACAAACACAAAGCGCGGTTAGTAGCCAAAGGATTCAATCAACAATATGGCGTAGACTATGCGGAAACTTTCAGCCCGGTGAGGTAGCGATGGCCAGCGTTTGAAGTTTCAGCTCTTGGTTGATGAGTTTCTCGTGAATCACCGTCAATGATGGTGGAGTCTCACGTCCTTCAATTTGATCGATAACTGGTTTGTAATCTTCAGGAAGTCCAGCAATGATGTAATCGATCTGATCTTCATGAGGAATATCACTCTCAAGCTCGGCTAATTGATCAAACCGAGTTGTGCAGCCTTGAAAGTACTCTTCAATCGATCGTGTGCCCTTTTTCCAGTGTTTTAGTTGTTCACGTAACACTTTGATATGTCCTCTGCTTGGATTGGCGTAGGTATCATTGAGAATGGTCCAAATATCAGCGGTGGTCGTTGCCTTTGACAAGAGAGACTGAACGGAGATGGAGATGGCACCAAGGAGACCGGAGTAGATCAGTTTATCTTGTCTTTTCCAGAGTTTGTATGCCGGATTTGCAGAGACAATGCCGGCGGTAGTGATGGTGGCTATGGGTGCGGCAATAGAGCCGTCAAGATAGCCGGCTAAGTCGTAGCCGTCGAGCAAGGCGTGAACCTGACGTTTCCACATCAAGAAGTTCGTCGCAGTGAGCTGTTTCACGTTTGTCATGTTGATGTTATGGAGTGAGGTTCCATCGGTGGTATCAACGATGACAGATGAGTTAGGCAAGGCCATGTAGAAGAGAGATCGAAAGAAAAGGAAGAAGAAGAAGAAGAAGAAGACAGAGGAGGAAGATGACGGCTCGTGAAAAAAAATTTAGGTCTTTAGGATATTACTGCTCTGATACCATATTACTTAAGAGAGCTTATCATTGATTAGAGAATGATTACAACATATATATAGTCTGTACAATAGGTTTTAACTCTTAAATAATTACACTTAGATCCCTCATCTATATTACTCCTTACAATTAAATCGACCACTATTAGAGTTGTTCTTGATGTTGCGGTGAAGAAAAATTGGCCACTAAAGCAACTCGACGTTAATAACGCATTCTTACAAGGAACACTTACCGAAGAAGTTTACATGGCGCAGCCCCCGGGTTTTATAGACCGAGATCGTCCCTCTCACGTTTGCAGACTTCGAAAAGCTATTTACGGCTTGAAACAAGCTCCGAGAGCCTGGTACATAGAATTAAAGCAACACCTAATTAACATTGGCTTTGCCAACTCTCTTGCCGATGCGTCACTGTTTATTTACAGTCATGGCACTACTTTGGTCTATCTTCTTATCTATGTTGATGACATTATTGTCACAGGGAGCAACCCAAAATCGGTAGAAGCGGTACTCACTTCTCTTGCGGACCGGTTTTCCATCAAAGACCCAACCGACCTTCATTATTTTCTAGGCATTGAAGCTACAAGAACGAAACAGGGACTGCATCTCATGCAACGGAAGTACATTATAGATCTTCTAGCAAAACACAATATGCTCGATGCTAAGCCGGTTGCAACACCATTACCAACATCGCCGAAACTAATAATTCATTGCGGCACCAAGCTTGATGATCCATCCACATATCGGTCTATTGTGGGAAGCTTGCAATATTTGTCCTTCACTCGGCCCGACATAGCGTACGCGGTTAACCGATTGTCACAGTTCATGCATCAGCCGACGTCGGAACATTGGCAAGCTGCCAAAAGAGTACTTCGCTATCTTGCCGGCACCACTACTCATGGTACTTTCTTCCACACTTCATCTCCTCTAAGTTTACATGCCTTCTCAGATGCAGATTGGGCTGGAGACTCCGATGACTACGTCTCCACGAATGCATATGTTCTTTACCTTGGCAGTAATCCGATTTCGTGGTCCTCTAAAAAGCAACGTGGTGTATCCCGCTCCTCAACAGAATCAGAGTATCGTGCCGTAGCAAACGCTGCATCAGAGGTCCGCTGGCTTTGTTCACTAT